TAGCGGGACTTTTTATATCGGCATTCCAGAATATCTATAACAACAAAATTAACTCACAATTTGAAAAACATCTAAGGAAACTTAACATGTGAAGCGTATTTATATATTCCGTTATAAGTTTTTCTTTCCATCGTGAAACCGATGGTCTTAACTATCAGGCTAGACCCCGAAAATATTGATGAAGCCGTCTAATATATTTTTTTTTTTGCCTAAATTAGCTGCTACTTTTCTCCGTGCGAAAAGGGGTCTACGATGCTTGTCAAGGAACTTTGTGTTTGGGCTGATGTGGCGTGGACGCTGTACACCATGGACGAAAAATATTTGCAGATTCGTGGTCCATGGACATTTCTGAACTATGTGATACATTTTAACTAAATTTGAGAAAGGTCGGCAAATCCACCAATGTCGCGCCAATTCCGGCGGTGGTGCCATCGTGGCACTGGGGTGAAGGTTAATGACCAATTCCGGTGCATTTGGGGGTGGGGGGCTAATTTATATTGCCGCCCTGGTGAGTTACGAATGGAGGCCTTAGCCCCTGCCCCCCGCCCCCCCCCCCTGGATCCGCCAGTGAACAATATAACACAAATATGCCCTTACATATTCAAAATCGATGTTCAGCTCTGCTGTGTGTGTACAACACAGCATGGCCAGAAGTCGCTGTAAAGTGGCTCATGCTTTATGAGTGGAAAGCCTACATATTGTACGAGTAGGTTGGGTTCGTATTTGCTGTGATGGAATGGACCCCTTCGGTCCAATGAGACCTTTGTGGGATGTGACATCGTATTAACACTATTATTGGCATCATTTATATCATATGCAATCCCACCAATGCACTCAAAAGCGGGCAGGAACTTTTCATACATCATGAGAACCGCAGATTTCGGGCCAACATATGACGGCATAGCTATATAAACTGAGGTAAAATATATCAGGATACACTAAAGGGCATGATGTGGATTTTGCTAATGTAATAATTGAATGAGAACTTTACTCCACAAGAAATCGTTCGGGTCGGAGCTTTCGAATTGTATTCAATGATTCGAATTGTATTCAAATGATGCCAATTTGAACAGGAATTCAGGTGCTATGCTACAGGATCGCTGGCTACCCATTATCCGCAGTGCCTACTGCCTGCCGCTAAAAGCTTGTACGATTTTGACTTGTCTTTTTTATATATTTCACGCCTCCCCCCCCCCCCCCATTGGTTGTTGCATATGGCTACTTTTCTCGTGAACTTTATATCCTCCTTTAATTAATGTTATTTGTTGTGAATGTTCTAGCCTATTGATGGAGTGTATTTGATCATTGCTATCATTTTTACTCTTTACCTTGGTCGTTTATAGTGTATTTTATATACCTGGTACCTTTGTTAGCCTATTACCTATTGATGTTGCATACATGTTTATATCACTTGCTATATATAGGTAGGTCTTTATTACTATTTACCAGTATAACGCCTTTTGGGGCGACTAACGGAGCGAGCGAGAGGGTGGGCCTTGCACGTGCGAAATTTCGAGGGGGTACCTCCAACTGACTTGTGCACGGCACCCTACTAACCGGTCTCTAGCGATGTGCCAAATTTGAGCACAATCGGCCCAGCCGTTCTCGAGATCTGGAAGCGGCACCCTGCACGTGCGCACGTGCAAAATGGGTCCCAACTGACTTGTGCACGGCACCCGACTAACTGGTCCCTAACCGTGTACCAAATTTCAGCGCAATCGGTCCAGCCGTTCTCGAGATCTTGAAACGACCCCTGCACGTGCGCACGTGTAGCAGCACCCCAACTCTGGCACATGGATATGCATTGCCTAGTGGGTGCCTACCTACATGCCAACTTGCAGCGCAATCGGCCCAGTAGTTACCGAGATATTGCAACTATTACAAAAGTGACACCTCTTCGTTTTGCACGTGGCACGTGCATAAGGGGTCACCCACATGCATCGAGAATCGTCCAATACTTAGTAGAAGGAATGAAGCTACCCTACAAAAATTACCGCATGTAAATCGGTCAAGTGGTTGCTGAGATATAAGCGTCGCAGAATCGTGACCACGGCCGGCCGGCCGGCCGCTCATACTCAGAAATTTCCGTTATTCTACGTAAGACTCCGCTCGCTTCGCTCGCTCCGTAATCACTTTTTATACTCACCTGCTATCACTCACCTGCTGACAAAGTTTTCCTGTGGAAAACTGTGGTTGTCCCTGCCCTTATGTTTGGATGTCATACGGTTCCTCTCCGCTCAACTGATATTGATACCCTGGACAGCGTCCAGTCTCGCTGCATCAAAGCTGCCCTCGGTCTGTCAAAATACGCACATCATTCTGCTCTGCTTATTGCTCTAAAAATTCCCAGGATACAAGAAATCCTCAGACGCGCGGTGGTTTTCGCGTTGTTGGGAATATTCCGAGATGATCATAGACTTAAGCACATAGCACTAAGTGAACTAGCTGTGTTAGCAACTGAGCCTGAACGTTTACACGGAACATTCTTGCACCTCGCGTACACCCTGGTGAACTGTTCTTTCCAGAGCGTGCTAGATACTGTAAGGGGCCATGTTGACCCTAGCTTTATAAGTAGCCCGACTGAAGGTGACGGTTTGGTCGACTCGATTCGCTTCGTGCTAAATTCTAGTCAGACAGTTATGTCCCGTCGCCTGCTGAGGCTTTTGTGCGCCTAACCTGCTTTGTGCATTCTGCTACGATGTTGTATCTTTGCGTCGTGATGAGTGTTTATCTTTTGTTATATTGTGTCGTATGTTTTACTGTATGCTTTATCTTGTCTCGAAAAGACGCATAATAAATTGATTGATTGATTGATTGATTGATAACCTTTGTTATTTAACAGATTTAGGTATAATTAGAATGTATATCGCTTATGAGATATTTCCTTCTTTTTACGGAGCGAGCGAAGCGAGCGTAGTCTTTCCTTAGATTAACGGAAATTTCTGAGTATGAGCGGCCGGCCGGCCGGCCGTAGTCACGCTTTTGCGATGCTTATATCTCAGCAACCACTTGACCGATTGACACGCGGTAATTTTTGTGGGGTAGCTTCATTCCTTCTACCAAGTATTGGACTATTCCCGATGCATGTGGGTGACCCCTTATGCACGTGCCACGTGCAAAACGAAGAGGTGTCACTTTTGTAATTGTTGCAATATCTCGGTAACTACTAGGCCGATTGCGCTGAAAGTTGGCATGTATGTAGGCACCCACTAGGCAATGCATATCCATGTGCCAGAGTTGGGGTGCTGCCGCACGTGCGCACGTGCAGGGGTCGATTCCAGATCTCGAGAACGGCTGGACCGATTGCGCTCAAATTTGGTACATTGTTAGGGACCGGTTAGTAGGGTGCCGTGCACAAGTCAGTTGGGACCCATTTTGCACGTGCGCACGTGCAGGGTGCCACTTCCAGAGCTCGAGAGCGGCTGGGCCGATTGTGCTCAAATTTGGCACATCGCTAGAGACCGGTTAGTAGGGTGCCATGCACAAGTCAGCTGGAGGTACCCCCTCGCGATTTCGCACGTGCGAGGCCCATCCTCTCGCTCGCTCCGTTAGTCGCCCCAAAAGGCGTTATACTGGTTCATATATGTTAAATGTTTTATCATAGAATGTCACGTGCTATTTATCTATTTTACTATCTGTATTCTGTGACATGTCCTTGTCTGCCAAAGACGAATCGCCCTAAATGATGCGACCGATACCCCCGAACCCCATTACGATACGCTGACGAAGCTTTGTAATACAATTCGAAAGCTCCGACCCGAACGATTTCTTGTGGAGTAAATGTCCTCATTCAATTATTATATATCAGGATAGTATAAATCAAGTTATGTGGCCGAATTATGTTGTATGGCGTAGGGATGTTACGCGTAATTTGATGGGCTTACCCGCTCTGAATATATATTCACAACTTTGCTGACCCCCCCCCCCTCCCCTCCTCCCCCTTGTCCCGGCGAGCGGTACGCCGGGAGAACTTACACGTGCATGGGGCCAGCCCGTTTTCCTCCCTCTTTAAACCTTACCTCATTTGCCTTCCGACCGAGCCACCGTCTGTCCCTTCACATTCCGATCCTAATTAGGGTCACCGCACCTGCCTGACGGACTGTCAACCACCCAGCGGGCGGTCGGTCCTGACGGGTCGGTGCTTACACGCAGAATATCGATATCATTGTACGAGAGAAATATTGATTCAAAATGTTTTTGATTCTTGTATATGTGCTGTAAATAAATGTTTCGATCTTAAAAAGCAACTACCCTCCGTAAATCACCCGGTCCTGTCAAGTCGGTGGGGTGTCATGGTCCTGACGAGTGAGCGCTTACAAGTAGGGGTGTGTATGTGTGTGTGTCCCGGCTTTTCCAGCTGGTTTACCACCGCTAAGATGTTAATTAAACCAGTCGGGAGGTCTTCCGGGACTGCAGATGAACACCAGCCACGGCGAGGGAATGTGCCAAGTGGCTCCATTTCGTAGAAATGTGCCGCTGTCCGAGAATCGTTTGTCTTGCAGCTGTTCATTTCACCACCAGCCCGATGTGGTCCGCTTTTTGGAAGCTTCCCCGTTTTCCATGCAAACGCCACGCTTTGTTGATTGAAACCGGGACAATCAGCACGAATTGGTGAATAATAAAGCAGAGGGTGGCTGTAATTCTTTTGTGAAGGTAGACTAAAAAATAAAACATTTCTAGCAAAAGGGTGAAAGAGATTAAACGGAACGTTGCTATTTAATGTTACATCAGGTATTTTCTCATTTCATGCCCTCTCATTTCAATCTCAATTGTTGACATCCGAAAACACAATTGACATTTGACGCAATGCAATATGCATGATGCATCAAAGAAATCCAAGTAGCTTGTAAATAAAAAATCCCTCGAGGATTGCAGGTCGAAATACAACGAACATTTTTTAATTACACGTTAGCCATTTGGGATGATATGCCAGCACTGCATCAGTAGTCGTTTAGGTGTGCCGTGTAAGCATTAAAAAAATGTACAGTGGGTGTCCGCAGTTCCGTCGCCTCCTCCTGAGAGCGTCCAGCAGCAGCTGGAGTCGCTGTCCGGCTGGCGAGAGGACCTGGACCCGTCCCGCCAGTACCTGCTGCGACTGCCGAGTCACATGTATGACGCAGCGGCGGGAATTCTCAGGTCAGGACATAAAGATCTTATGTAAGGTCTCATATGTGTTAGAACGTCTGAGGCACATGGCGCTTGTTGCTGAAGCCTGTTCGTTGTTGTTTAATGCATCCTAAAAAAACATGTATTATTTTTTCATGTATTCCATCTTTAATTCTGAAATCCACGTTTATCAGTCTAGGCTGGAACGAGCTCCCTCGTTTTAGGCTACCTATTTGCGATCGATCTAAATTTCTAAACGACCTGCAAAATATAAATACCATGCATATCATATTTTCCATACAAGCCATTTACACTCTACACTCTACAGGATCCCTAGAAGCCTCAAATTACGTAGTAAGATCATCACCAACAGTCTGACACCCCCGCAGGGAAGTTCGAGTGGTGGTTTACGAGCCCGGCGCCGCCACTAGCGACATCAGCCCCCTTCCACCGCCGTCTGGCAACATCACTCAGCTGCCCCAGGCGACCACCTGGCAACAGTTCGAGCTCAATCGGACCAGTCATTACCTGGCGTCGCCTCCCGCATTCATACCAGATAGCGGTAAGTGGCGAGTGCCTCGAGTTTCCATCAATCGGTGATGAGATCTCATCGGAACGCATAGCGTCGCAGAGAATTAGACCATTGATTTGAAAATAGCCTGCCTCGGTGAAATAACCGATCATTATTTGCGTGGCTTTTAGCTTGTCTTGGAATGAAAGACTTAAGCTAATGCATTTCATGTCGGTCAGTATAGGATGATGATCGTATTTCCCTCAACTTAAATTACGAGATGTTTCAAAGGCTTTAGAAGGACTCAGTTTGGCTCATGGCTGTTCATTGTTCCAGCTGTGAAACGTTATGTCAAAATGTCTCTTGCCAATAACCAATTTCAGGCCAAAATGAAGCCATCCTTATGTCAACTCTCCTTTCCCAGCCGCGACCGAACCCACAGAGTTTGTGTTGGGCGGTAACACATCCTGCTCCATCTCTACGACTCCTGGTGTGTCGGGGGACCCTCGCTGCAACGGTCCCCTCCAGCCCAACACAACATACGCCGTCCAGCTGATGTTCGTCAATGACGCCGGATTCGTCTCTTCCCGGCCCTTCATATTCCGCACCAGTGAGTCTTGCTGAGAGGCCCCTATTAGGGCCGCTTCTAATGAGCGTTGGCGAGATACGGGCAGGGGTGAACGTGGGGAATGGTGGCTGTGCAGAGACACGGGAAGCGAGGTGCTAGATCGTGATATGAGGGCGGTGTGTTGGTGAGAGATACAGTGTCTGGGACAGGAAATTTGTTGCTGAGCTCCCGGATTTCGTCAGACAAAAGATGTAAGGATATGTGGAACGTTATTGCCGGGTTGATGCTAAAATAGGAGAGGTAGCAATACGGGATAGGATTCATTTCACATAAGTTTTTAGAAGAAACGTGAATCTAATTCGAGCTTCGAAAGCGTGATATGATATGATACAATTGATAGCGTGATGTGTGTTGTAATGAAATAGTTCTTTTATTGCAGCAGAGATGAAAGTTGTAACATCTCTTTCATGATTGCCGATCAATTCTAGAAGCCTGATCTCTTTACCATTTATGCGCTGAATTCGAACACATATAAAACTGGGGCAAAAGTTCATTCCTGGAAGACATGGTTAAAACCTCGGATATCAGCCCATAATAACCTTGATGCTTGACACTTGTGTCAGTCTGCTAGCCTAGGTACCCAGACAAAGGGCTGTGTTGACAATAATGAGTTTGCTGGCAACCATAACGCTGCTAACCAAGCCTGCTCCATGGAGCAGGCTTGGTTAGTGAAGCGAACTGCAGTTCGCTTCACGCCGAGCCCTACTCGGTGCCTGTATCGATCCCGTGTTATTTACACCACCACATCAATGCGTCTGGTGAATATTTAATGAATCGGCTGTCAACTTCAATATTAAGCTGTTTTCACCATGCTTGTGGGCTATATGGAAGGTGCCGAGCTTCAAATGGACACATCAAACAAAGGCTTTGTCCGTCCCGTTGCTCAGTAGGTAGAGGATTGGAGTCCCGGGTGACAGCCGGAGATCAAGTTGCTCCGGCGCTCGATATGTCAGACGCCTGACAATAATAGTCTATGGTTGGTGGAAGACGTAACAACGGTAGTTGCTGTTATGTTGAATGAGATGGACCGTGGCCAGCTTTGATGGGCGCACATGACTGACATCCAAAGTGTCACGGTTTCACACGGAATAGCCTTACATATTAGGACGTGAGGACGTGAGGGGTTGGAACGTGCACATAGTGTCCAGTTTGTTACCTCGCAGTTTACAAGTATCGATTTGACATTGAAGTACCAGTAATATTCGGATGGTACAGGGAAGGGTAACGGTAGCGCTGGCTTACACCTTCCCCGCCGGCGCCAAGGTTGAAACTAATCAAGGTCACGTTTATTCATGTCCGTGAAGTTAGCGTCAGCAACAGCAACGAATACAGCGTCGGATTCAGAATCACTTCAAAAACTCATATCAGGTCAATTGGGGGACGGGGAACAAGAATATGACCTTTATTTAGCCCTAGCTCTTACCCCTTACCCTTTAATTGACCCTTAAAGGAAGGGGCGCGTCAAAAGTGCCTCAAGGGTTGGTCTGATCGCCAAAATAAGGGCGGTAACCGGGTTCCAGATGTGTGCATCTTACCCCTTACCCCTTTATCGGCCTTTTTGAACCCGAGGCTGCGGCTAGATATTGACCCGAGGAATCGATTGCGACACTTATTTCGGCGATCAGACGAACCCTTGAGGCACTTTTGACGTGCCCCTTCCTTTAAGGGCCGATTAAGGGGTAAGGGGTAAGATGCACACATCTGGAACCCAAGGCTGCGGATAGATATTGACCCGAGGAATCGATTGCGACCCTTATTTTGGTGATCAGACGAACCCTTGAGGCACTTTTGACGCGCCCCTTCCTTTAAGGGCCGATTAAGGGGTAAGGGGTAAGATGCACACATCTGGAATCCGAGGCTGCGGGTAGATATTGACCCGAGGAATCGATTGCCGCCCTTATTTTGGCGATCAGACGAACCCTTGAGGCACTTTTGACGCGCCCCTTCCTTTAAGGGCCGATTAAGGGGTAAGGGGTAAGATGCACACATCTGGAACCCGAGGCTGCGGCTAGATATTGACATTGGCCTGAGAAATCGATTACCGCCCTTATTTTGGCGATCAGACGAACCCTTGAGGCACTTTTGACGCGCCCCTTCCTTTAAGGGCCCATTAAAGGGTAAGGGGTAAGAGCTAGGGCTAAATAAAGGTCATATTCTTGCTCCCCGTCCCCCAATGGACCTGATTATCTGATATGAGTTTTTGAAGTGATTCTGAATCCGACGCTGTATTCGTTGCTGTTGCTGACGCTAACTTCACGGACATCAATAAACGTGACCTTGATTAGTTTCAACCTTGGCGCCGGCGGAGAAGGTGTAAGCCAGCGCTACCGTTACCCAGGGAAGTCAGCACTCATTGTACAGCATGTTTTATTATCTTTTAACGGCAATACGTTGCCACTGCTCCACTCACGGTCTATCGCCGACCCTGACGACAAAACCTGTTGCGCTCTGTTATCTGACCCGGTCGATAACCCCGTTCCCACAGAATCTGTGCGAGAAGCCCAGCAAGAGGAGGCTGAGCGAACAAAAGCCGAGACGGAAAAGGCTGAGGCCGAGCGCGCAAAGGCAGAGGCCGAAGGCGAAAAGAGCGACGAAAAGCCTCCGGACATCACAATACAGCAGACCCAACCGAACGTCGACCCGTTGAGTGGTTCAGACGATGGATGGCGCGAGACGGTCGGGAAAGGTGACCGATCTGGTGACCTCCCGAAGCAGCAGGCTCTCCCGGCCGGCACGGCGAGGATGGGGGACGGAGAGGGTATCCCCCCGGCCGACAATGGGACCACTGAGGTGCCGACCAACGCCACCACGTCTGAGCCGGGCGTGGCGGTGGGCACGGCCGTGGGCGCGTCGGCGGGCGTGCTGGCGGCGCTGAGCTCCATCTGTGCCGGCGCGCTGCTCTGGAGGCGGCGATCCAGGGCATCCGGTTCATAGCTGCCGCCGGTTCAGAGTTAATTGATGTCTATTTGGATCAGCTTTGGCACTGCGGATCGGAGGCAACACAACGGCAAGAAGCATGGATGGCGAAGCGAGAAAAGAAAGCTGTGTTGCAGATATGGGGAGCGCAAATGTCTTGACACCTGATAAGTCGACAGAGAGCTTGGACGAAGCGATAACGACGAATGTGATACAAGCACGATGCGATCGAATATTCGTTTCTCGAGTGAGAAGACTTAACTGATAGAAGTGATAGCCCAGAGCCGTACGGTTGAGTGGTATTAATGTATACGAATACATCTGCCTACATGTCAGCCCTCCGACAGGTTATCCATAAACAGGCTGCTATCAATGAAGCCGTGCTCAAATTGACGTAGTCAAACGTTTTAAATGCATTGATTTCGGACGTACGGCTAGTTCAAAAGTCGCTTCCCTCAGTGCCTATTTTCTGGTTATTCGCATATTTCATGGAATCCATTTGTGTGTCAAGAATTAACAACAAAGCACAAATCCAAGGCTAGGATTCATTTAGAATGTTTCATAAAATGTATTACAAATGCATTTATCATTCTATGAGCTACAATCTCGCTGGAAAAAAGAACTTATCGTGTTCTCGTAATGCCATGGTTCATGAGCAAATGATCAAAAAATAATATATTTTGATTTACTTTTTTGACTTTTTACTGCTTGGATTTACTGCTTGGATGGTGGTTGCGGGTGCGTTCACTCCGGCATGGTGGTATCTTGTTCATGTGGAACCGGCAAGTCGAATGCGACTGAAGGGAATCATTATCTCAAACAAACGGGCAAGCCAGAGGCAGCGTCAGTTCCAGCCAAAATGTTGAACAATGATAATTGAAATCTACTTAGGACGTATTCATAGCATGCCACTATTCAGTCGATAGTTGCATGATGCTTTTCATGATGCAAGATGAGGCTTTTCTAAAATGTTATTTGAGTTAGATATTTTTCATTTGGCACGTTCGGTTTTGGTGGGTTTTATCAATTATCGGGTCGAAAAGAATTAGAAAAAAAGAGTTGAAATGGCTCCAGACAAATGACCAAAAATATTTTCTTAAAAATGAAACTTAGCTAAACATTTATATGCATTAATTTTGACTTTTGGAGAGGATATTGGGGAAAGATGTCATCATGCTTATCTGTGTTGCAGTAGAGGGAAAGGTTTTGGTTTGTGTCTAGATAAAACCAGACCCGGGAGTGGGGCTCGAACTTACGACATCGTATTCAGCTCACAGGTTACCCAACCTCAACGCTACAAGCACCTATCGCCCTGCGCAGCTTGCTCAGTGTTTCGGCTAAAGTTCGGCCAAAGTGTCTGACGTCTGTCAATGTCACGAGGCGAAACCCCAAGGTAAATGTCCGCCCCGGTAGCTCGGTCGGTAGAGCGTTGGACTCCATGTGCCATGTGGTGAGAGCGCACGTCCCGGTAGCAAAAGTCCGGGTTCGAAACGCGACGTGTGCTTGACGTTTTTGAGCGGCTCCTGACGGGTATAGTTGTGGTTGGTGGCAGGCCGCTGCCAGGCGAAGTCAGTGAGGGGACCAGCCGTGCGCGACTATGTGCGCACGTTAAAATTTGGACTCTTAATTCTGCCATAGACCAGGAATTGCTTGATTGGAGGGTATACCCTCCGAATCTCTACCGGTAGAGAGCAGGGTCAACGCAACAAGCTCAGCTTAGCGGGGACTTTGTCATAGGCGGCGGAACGGGGAGGGCATCGGGGCACTGTGCCACCCTTTGATTTTGGAATTTTAACATTAGCCCTATGGGCGTTGCATGAAAAGAATGGGACCAAAAGTCGGCAGTGCCTCCCCCCTTAAAGGGACCCTCTCACCTTCAAAAAATATTATGAATTGGCATGAAAGTGATGTCGCTCGGTTCAGAAAGACCGAAAACGAATATCTACCAAATTTCACCGAAAAATATTCACCGGTTTTCAAGATATTAGGCTTTTACTTTTGTTTACTTTTTGGGATCTCCGCTGTTCCTAGCGACTTTATTTGGAAGCAATAGTTTGGCAGCTGAAAGTGCGGCACTCGTTGCGCGCAAAGCAGCATATATCAACGCGTGCTACAAAACGTTTTAGTCAAACATTTGAAAATCGTTAGATCTGCGCTGACGTCACACATTCAGAGGGGTATTTAAATGCATTAGCCCCTCTGGATCAAAATGCTGCAATTTTGAAACTCAATATTTCCGATTTAAGGCATTTCTCGGTGTTGTGAGTGCCAAAACCGGTAATTGTGAGCCAGGGACCCCATTTTGACTATCTCAACTCAAATCTAATGTTAAGATGGGAGGGTCCCTTTAATTGAAGGTGTTCCACTTCCGGCGCTACTGGACTTGATCTTCGTGATTCCTTTCTTCCAAAAGGTTCGGGCCAAATTTATATTAAAAAAGGGGGAGCCGAACCAGGTTGGGCCGGGTTGCACCCGGTTGGACCGTTGTCTTACACGCAATCATGATAAGACAAAACAGATGCTAATTTCGTATCAAATATTTTTATTAACCCTCGCCGGCCGAGGGGGGGGCGGGTGCCGCCCCCCCATAGGGTTTTTTTCGCGATAGCTCCGAACACGCTGGCGATAGAGAGCTGAAACTTGGCATACCTGACCTTTTATCCAAGCCGGATCTTTTGACACCAACCGCATTTTTGGGTCAGGTCAGGTCACTGACCTATGACGTCATAAGTGAACCTCTGCACGGTCTTCAGATGTCGCAACTTCGCAACGCCCTCACTGCCAGAGGAGATGTCACAGGGAAATGAAACTTGCAGGATCTAGTATCCATTATGAGTCCCACAATTTGTATATCTCGGATTTTTCCTAAAGGTCATATGAGGTCAGGTCATTTTCGTGACCTCACCATTAGGTATAAGTCAATGGGGAAAAATGAAAACTGCTATTCTGGCGCCGGGAACGATCTCCAACTATCTCAAGCACACAGAATCGTGATTTGATGCACTCCTTGCAAGGTAAGATGCGTCACTTTTGCAATGTTGACCTTGCGTGACGTCATTTATGACGTCATCAAGGTCATATTAGTTTTTCGTCAATAACTCTTGATCAAATTGAGCTAGCGGTTCGGGAAAGCCACCAATGGACTCAGGAAGACCTGCCGAATCGAATGATATGCGACATGACCTCTTTCGACCAACTTCGTGACCTGGGGGTGCTGACCTGACCTTGACCTGAGGTCAACACCCCAAGTTAACCTGACGGCTGACCCGGGCAAAAAGTATATCATTCGACGCGCCTGAGCGAGACGAACACGATGCTGCCAAAATCGGCGCTCTGCGGCCGTTTTTTGCGAAGTTATTCACCAAAAACTGAACCGTACCTTGGGGCACTTGACCTGACCTCAGAGGTCACCGGTTGACCTAGGACCTTAAAATCGGGTACCAATCTCTGCGTCTCGTAACGGCGCACACGCTCGTTTTTTCCGCGACGCGCTAGCTCCACCAGGGGCGAAACGGCGAGGGGGGGGGTCGTACCCGCCCCCCCCCCCCCCCCTCCCTCGGCCGGCGCGTATGTAGAAAACCAATAGGTCCGGCGAGGGTTAACGGATCTTATTGTTTTTAGCTTACACGTATAATAACTTTTAGCTTTTTTAACTCCAGACTTCATGCACAAAAATGTGGCATTCGTCCACTTTTCCTCATCTTCTCGTATAGCGACTTGATTTGACTTAAAGGGACAGTATCATCGAAAAAAAATCAATGTATGGAGCTGATTTTTTTTTTACTAGCATTTCTTATTTTTCTGAATCAGAAAAACATAGTTTGAGGACCGAACTTGGTGAAAAATATTGCAACCACATTTCATTTTCATGATTCATTTTCATGAGCGAATCACCACTATACAAGCATGGCCGCCAGTTTGGAAGCATGCAAAATTACTACAGAACTGGCGCTCTTCTTTTCGTTAAACCGCGCACCGACGGGGGGGCGGATATCCGCCCCCCCCCCTGAGGTTTTTCGCGAATAGCGGGAAAACCGCGCGCGTAGCGCCGCGAAATTTGGTATGACTATAACCTCATCAATTTTACACATGGTGTGCAAGTTTGAACTTCCTACCTTTTAAGGTCAGGTCACCAGGTCACTTTGAATGACCCAACCTCAAGTCACTTTTTTGCAACTTTGTCACCGTGCCACAGCTACAGTAGATGTCGGAGGCCTTTGAACGTCGCAGGATATTATTAGGTCATTAGTAGCTACAATTTGTATATCTCGGAATTTTGATATCGGTGACCTAAGGTCAGGTCAATTTCGCGACCTCCCCATTATAAGTCAATGGGGGAAAAATCAACTCCCTGTTTTTACCACTAAAACGGGTCGGAATGGCCCCATATACTTTACATGACTTCATATACGATCAACCTTCACTACCTTGAGGTCAGTTTTGCTGTTGGGCAGCTGTGAGGTCATGTGACGTCATCAAAGGTCACCAAAGGTTTTTGGCCAATAACTCCGTACAGGAACAAGATACAGACACGTGGATGGTCTCATTGTGTTCAGCTCGTCAAGACGCATCGAATGATATACATGATGACCTCGAGGTCACGTGACCTGAGGTCAACCTTTGACCTTGACCTTTCGAGGTCAACATATATATCATTCGATGCGGATTGACGAGAGGATCACGATGATGCCCTTAGTTTGTTCCTATCTTGACTAATTCGAAAGTTATTCGAGAAAAACTCTCCATATCTAGCGCCGCCATTTTGACTTTTTCGACCCCTGTGACGTCATCTTTGACCTGACCTGAAAATTACCTTTGTAAAAATTGTAGATCTTGGCCGTGCGTATCCGATGCCGTTTACCGCTTGTCGCTATCTTGCTTCGTTCTCGAGATCTCAGGGGGGGCGGTCATCCGCCCCCCCCCCCCCCCCAGCCAGCAATTCACTTGGGCTGAACTGTGGCAAACGTCGGGCAGCTTGGGCTTAGCTTGGGTTTGCCCACTTTGATCAAAACCAATGTATTTTTTACTAGGGCTGAGCTTGGGCATGCCGCAGCTATGCCCACGTGCGGATAGCAGTAGCTCAGCCGGACATCTGCCCACGCATCCAAAACAGGCTTAACTTGGGCGGAGCGCGGGCTGATCAAGCTGGCTGTGTCCTTCGGCTAACTGGAGTAAAGCCGGAGTTAAGCCATACTTGTTCGGCTGTTCGCGCATGCGCAGTTCTGCGCCAATCATGTGCAGCGTTTGTGACAGTCTGCGCGCTGTGCGACGAAACGACACACCGGTGTTTGGGCATTTGGTGGTTGATGTTTGGGCGCGTGTGACAGCGCGAAGAACGGATAGTGCTCATTGCTCTTATCAAGTGGACTGGCATGGAGTTTTACGGTAGGTAATTGTATTGAATGGTGCGCTTGATCGTATGTAAACGTCATTATTTTGACTGAGTTTCACGCCATCAAACATGAAGCTGAATAGCTGTTCAGCCTGGCGACTTACACCCTCGCTCAGAAAAGCCGCATTCCGTGCCTTTATGTATATCTTTGTGAAATACCAGCACTTCTGAACCAGGAAAATGAAATACAAAACACAAATATTTATCTACTTATCACCGAGCACGCTCATTCTCTGTCCGCGTTGAAAAATTCGAATGAATATTTTATACGGATCAATGAGAAGTGCTGTTACAGTATTA